CATTTAAGGAAAAAGTAATACCAACTTTACAAAAAAATGCTTTTAGAAAATAGAGGAGGGGGGCACCTGGGTGGCTCAGTCGTTAAGCGTCTGCCTTCGGCTCGGGTCATGATCCCGGGGTCCTGGGATCAAGTCCCACATCAGGCTCCCTGCTCCGCGGGGGGCGTGCTTCTCCCTCTCCCTCTCCCACTCCCCCTGCTTGTTCCTGCTCTCACTATGTCTCTCTCTGTCAAATAAATAAATAAAATCTTTAAAAAAAAAAAAAAGAAAATAGAGGAGGGAAATTTTCCCATTTCTTTTTATGAGAACAGCATAACACCCATCACCAAAAACTAGCAGACATTGCAAGGAGAGAAAATTACATATAAATATCAAATAGAGAAATAGAAAAATCAATAATACATCCAAAGGTGGTTGATCCCTGTAATAATAATGTTATTCCCAAGAACGAAGTGTTGGTTTAGTATTCCAAATCAATGTAATTAGTCACATTAACAAAATAAAGGATTTTAAAAAATGATCACCTCAGTATAGAAGCAGAAAAAGCATTTGACAAGATTCAGCACCATTCCTGATGAGTAATCTCAACAAACTCAGACTAAAAGTGACTATCCTCATCTGATACATGGCATATATGAAAAAATATACTGCTAACAACATACTTCACAGTGAAATGGAGAACATCCCCCGCAACTGCCATGATCAGAAACAAGGCAACTATATCTGTTCTCACCACTTCTGTTAAGCATCTTATCAGAAGTTCTAGCCAGTCCAATAAAGCAAGAAAAATAAAATAAAATGCATTAATAGTTGAAAGGAAGAAGCAAACATGTCTTTATTCACAGAAGACATAATAGTTTATGTAGAAAATCCAAAGAAATCAATAAATAAGCTACTAGAACTAATAAATGAATTTAGCATGGTTTTTACATATGAAGTCAATATTAAAAATCAAATATATTTCTATATGCTAGCAGAAAAATAATTATGAAATGAAAATTTATTTTTTTATTAATTTTTTTTTAATTCTTATGTTAATCCCCATACATTGCATCATTAGTTTTAGATGTAGTGTTCCATGATTCATTGTTTGTGCATAACACCCAGTGCTCTATGGAGAATGTGCCCTCCTCAAAACCCACCACCAGGCTAACCCATCCTCCCACCCCCCTCCCCTCTAGAACCCTCAGTTTGTTTTTCAGAGTCCATCGTCTCTCATGGTTCATCTACCCCTCTGATTTCCCCCGCTTCATTCTTCCCCTCCTGCTACCTTCTTCTTCTTTTTTTTTTCTTAACATATATTGTATGAAATGAAAATTTAAAAGGCAATCCCATTTTTTAAAAAGCACCAAAACTTAAAAGACTTAGAAATACTTAGAAATAAATTTAATAATAGATAAGCAATACCTCTACTCTGGAAGCTGAAATTAAATACCTAAATAAATGGAGAGCTATACCATGTTCATGAATCAGAAGACTCATTATTAAGATAGCTATTCTCCCCAAATTGATCTGTAAATTCATCACAATCCTACTCCCCATCACAACATACTTTTTTTTTTCAGACACTGTTAAGTTGTGCAAAGTTTTTATGGAGATGCAAAGGAACTAGAGTGGTCAAAGTAGTCTTAAAAAAGAAGAAATTGCATTTCATTTAATTCCCACTAGCACAGCTAAAATTAAAACACACCACATATTGGCAAGAATGTGGAGCATCTGGAACACACCTTGCTTGTGTAAAACATTAAAACCTCTTTGGAAAACAATTTGGCTACTTCTTCTTCTTTTTTTTTTTAAGATTTTATTTATTTATTTGACAGAGAGAGAGAGACAGCGAGAGCAGGAACACAAGCAGGGGGAATGGGAGAGGGATAAGCAGGCCTCTTGCCGAGCAGGGAGCCTGATGTGGGACTCGATCCCAGGACACTGGGATCATGACCTGAGCCGAAGGCAGACACTTAAAGACTAAGCCACCCAGGTGCCCCAATTTGGCTACTTCTTATCAAGTAAAACAACCCAATCAAAAATGAGCAAAAGTCTTGAACAGACACTTTACGAAAGAAGATATAAGAATGGCTGGTAAGTATGTCAGATAGACATACAAAAAGAGGTCCAATATCATTAGTCAACAGAGAAGTTCAAACTAAACTCACAATGAGAGAGCATTTCACACCCACTAGACTGGCTGAAATGAAAAAGACTGACCACACCAAATGTTGGCAATGATGTGGAGCAATTGGAACATACTTTGCTGGTGGGAGTGTAACCTGGTAAAGTCACTTTGGGAAACAGTTTGGCTCTTTCCTATAAAGCTAAACATTCAACCTGACCTAGCAATTCCACTTATAGGGATTGACCCAAGGGAAATAAAAACAGATGTCCACAGAAAGACATTACAAGAACGTTCACAGAAGTTTTATTCTTAAAGCCCCAAATCAGAAACGACCCAAAGATTTATCCACAGGACAACACACAAATAAAATTGTGGCTATTTACACAATGGAATAATACCCAGCAATAAAAATGAGTAAACTACTGATATACATATCACAATATGAATAAATCTCAAAGATTTATTGAAAATTGAAAGAAACCATGCACAGGAGTATATATTATATGGTTCCATTTATATGAAGTTCAAGAATAAGTAAAACTGATCTATGATGATAGAAATCAGGACAGTGGCTGCTAAGGGGTGAGAACTTTCCAGAAGGTGATAGAAATGTGTACATGTGGGACGCCTGGGTGGCTCAGTTGGTTAAGCGGCTGCCTTCGGCTCAGGTCATGATCCTGGAGTCCCTGGATCGAGTCCCGCATCAGGCTCCCTGCTCGGCAGGGAGTCTGCTTCTCCCTCTGACCCTCCCCCCTCTCATGCTCTCTCTCTATCTCATTCTCTCTCAAATAAATAAATAAAATCTTTAAAAAAAATGTGTACATGTATCAAAACTCATCAAAGTGTACACTTAAGATAGATGCATTTCAGAGTATGTAAATTTTATGTCAGAAATTAAAAAAAGGATGTCTGGAGGAATGTCATCAATAATTTAAAACTTGGGAGCAACTTAAAGAAGGTTATCAAAATAGTACAACCGTATGAAAGCACAGAAAAAAAGGTCTGGAAGCTTTTCACCAAAGTGAGACTCAACCTTGAGAGATGTGATTCTGCCTGTCTTCACCTTTTCTACACCAAACACGGACTTAACTTTTGCAATAAGAAGAAAACATTTCTAGATACATCCCTATGGTTCTAGATACTTAGACACGATTCACTCTCCTTATTCATGGTAGCTGTGATCTATAAAGTCACAGTGGTCCTGAATTAGCAAATAGTGAACCATTGCTCCTGGGGGAGATACAGGGCGAGGCTCCTGCCAGCGTCTGGTCACATTTTCGTCAATGTGTTTTACATGTGAGGAGAGGAGTTCATCGCTATCCACACCTCAGCTGGGAGGGGACACCTGGCAGCTCTGTGTATGTGGAACCCTCCTGGACTCTGTCTCATGGGTTTCTTCCCTTGGAGGATTTGAGTCCGTACCTTTCATCGTAATAAACCATAAGCGTGAGCACAATAGCTTTTTGGCTCTGGGGGGTTCTTCCAGCGAATTATCAGACCTAAGGGTGGTCTTAGACTCCCCAGTCTGCATCTATCTCAGTGTCTCGAATCCCCCTTTTGAATCACTCACTCAATGAGTTCGAGCAACATGTCCTTTATTTATCTGCGTGAGGTTTACGACTCAGACATCTGAGACTTACACTTCGTTTACTGGATTGTTCCTTTAATAACGAGAACATGAAGAGAGATGAAAAACCATCCATGCTTCAGCACTCAGTGGTTTCCAGGGGAGGGAGGAAGGGGCCCTCTTCGGGCTGGGCTCAGTTACCCTTAGAAGAAACAGTCGGCAGGGTGGCGAGTGGTAGTTGGAGGCGGGGGGTGGGCAAACATGAAAACCCATGATTATAGTCAGCTGAGGCAAGGATGGGGTCAGGGGGAAGCTCGGAGGCTCTGGGAGCTGAGAAAAGGGCCCCCAAAGCCTTCCCAGTGCTGAGCAAAGGCCTTCCAGGATCAGGCGCCTTCTAAGTCAGGAAGGGCGGCACCACTGGACCCTTTTCCATTCCAGCCCCTTCCTTCAGCTCTGCTTTGGGCCACAGGCCCACTGAAGCATCATCATTATTGGTACTGTTCTGTAATTATCCTGTTATTATTTGCAACCCAAAGCATTTTAGGCAGTTTTCAATAAAAACATATACCTAACATATTACAGCTTATTATAACTTTATAATCACCTAATTTATAAAAGCATATCCATAAAACAAAAGTCAGTAAGTTAGGTAATAAAAAAAAGATGGAAAATAATTTGATCAGAACGTCCATTTCATGGAAAATTACCGTTTCCAAATACAACCCTGGCCCGTGAGCCTCCAGGCCAACCAGCTAGCCCTGGGAACGAGATGGACTGCAAATCTGTTGGTCTGGCAGGATCTGCTTTCCCTGGCCATGAGCACAGCTGGGATTTGCTGCGGGCCCTCCCTGGCCCCATCGGGCTCCAGAGGCAGGTTGGGACCGGGTCCGGAGGCTCAGAAGGAAGGCCCCAGTTCTAGGCCCTGTCCTCCCATCCTCCCCCTGGGCTCCAGCCACACAGAAGGGCAGGACAATCAGTCCGCTGCCCACCAGATCCGTGTGCCTCATTGGACAGCAGACGTGGCTCCCAGGCTGGTGAACAGAGACCCCGGGAGCCCTCTCTGCCTGCCCCCATTCCCGGGTGAGTGCGATCCAGAGCGGAAGAAAGAGGCTGTAAACTGAATCCCCTCCCCCAGGCCAGGACTCATGATTCTCCTCCACCCAACTGATGCACACAGGGTCCCCACCTAGATGCCCATGGCAGGTGGCAGCAACCCCCAGAGACTCCACAGCCCAGCCCAGCCGGTGCCCCGTCCCCCTGCACCCTGCGCCCCAGTCCTTGGCCCTTGACCCCCAGCCCCCCACACCCCAGCAGACTCACCCTCCTCACAGTTGCTCCCGGTGAAGCCAGGACAGCATCTCCATTCCAGCGCCGTCACCGTGCGGTAGGACACTCTGTATGTGGGTCTGATCAGAGTCCTGTAACTAACACAAGGGCAGCGTCAGGATAGTGTGAGCGCCCATCCACCTGCCCACCCCCCCAGCCCCGATCCCACTTCTGCAGAGAGCACCCAGCCCAGGGCTCTGGGAGCCGCCTGGGTAGTGGAGCCCGTCACCCCGGCTCTGTGCCCACTGGCTGTGTAGCCCTGGGCAAGTGACCACCCCTCTCTGTGCTGGATGCATTATAAAGTCCCTCCCAGCTCTGCCTTCCGGCAAGTTTCCAAGCATGGCGACGGAGGGTGGGAAAATGTCTGCCATGGATTGAATTGTGTCTTCAGAATCCGTATGTTGAAGCCTTGTCCCCCTCCCCCGCCCCATCATGTGTCTCTATTTGCATAGAGGGTCTTTAGGAGGTAAGTACAGTTTAATGAGGCCATCAGGGTGGGGCCCTAATCCATCAGAGCTGGTGGCCTTATAAGAAGAGGAGGACAGAGAAAGAGATCTCTGAGTTCATGCACACACGGAGAGGCCGTGTGAGAACCCAGCGAGAAGGTGACCGTCTGAGAAAACACACTTCTGTTGTTGACACCCCCCAGGCTGTGATATTTCGCCGTGGCAGCCTGAGCTAAGACGTTGACCAAGATGATGAAGAAGGAAAAGAAAACTATCGTTAGGACGTCCTCAACTTCCAACCACCCAAAAGTTCCTGAACTCCAGCACTTTGTCCCAATCATTTCCTTTGGCTGATTCATCCAATGAACACTTATTGAGCGCCAACTAAATGTGATACTGTGGTCCCAGACTGATATAACTGAGTCCTGCCTTCAAGAAAATCACAGCCTCGTGGATGAGCGAGACACACCAATGAAAACTTGCAGCCCCGTTGTGGGACCCTATTCCCCTGCAAACTGCTGTGGATTCCGGGGCCAGATTTCACACTCCTGCAGTTTTGATATTTTTCTTGCAAAAAAGCTTGATACTATTTTTTTTTTAAGATTTTTTATTTATTATTTGACAGAGAGAATGAGAGAGAGAGAGCACATGAGAGGGGGGAGGGTCAGAGGGAGAAGCAGACTCCCTGCCGAGCAGGGAGCCCGATGCGGGACTCGATCCCGGGACTCCGGGATCATGACCTGAGCCGAAGGCAGTCGCTCAACCGACTGAGCCACCCAGGCACCCAAGCTTGATACTATTTTACAAAACTCCAAGACATAAGATGTGTGACCACACCACCATGAGCTATCACCTCACACCTGTCTGAATGGCAACCATCAACAACACAAGAAACAAAAGGTGTGGGCGACGATGTGGACAAAGGGGAAACCTCATGCAGTGTTGGAGGGAATGCAAACTGGTGCGGCCACTGTGGGAAATGGTATGGCGGTTCCTCAAAAAATTAAAAATAGGACTCCCGGGGTGCCTGGGTGGCTCAGTTGGTTAAGCAGCTGCCTTCGGCCCAGGTCATGATTCCAGGGTCCTGGGATCGAGCCCCACATCGGGCTCCCGGCTCGGCGGGAGGCCTGCTTCTCCCTCTCCCTCTACCGGCCTCTCCCCCTGCTTGCACTCTCTCTAATAAAAATAAAAAATCTTTTAAAAAAGAAAAAATAGGACTCCTATTTGATCCAGCAATTCCACTTCTGGGGACTGATCCAAAGAAAACTAAAACACTAACTCAAGAAGAGATCTGCGCCCCCATGGTCATCGTAGCCTTATTTACAATAGCCAACACATGAAATAACTTAAGTGTCCATCGACAGAGGAACGGATAAGAAAATGTGATATATGTACACGATGGAATACTACGGAGCCATAAAAAGGGAAGAAATCTTGCCATTTGCGACAGCAATGGATGAACCGTGAGGGCATTATGCTAAGTGAAATAAGTCAGACAGAGAAAGACAAATACTGGATGATCTCACTTATATGTGGCATCTAAGGAAAAAACAACTGAGGTCATAGATACAGATAGACTGATGGTTGCCAGAGTCAGGGGGTAGGGGCAGGCATAATGGGGGAAGGGGGGATCAAAAGGCAGAAACTTCCAGATATAAAATAAAATGTGAAGGTCTTGGGATGTGATGTACAGCATGGTGACTATAGTTAATAAGACTGAGTGTCATATATAAAAATTGCTAAGAGAGTAGATCTTCAAGTGCTCATCACAAGAAAAACAATTTTTGTAACTGTATGTGGTGACAGATATTAACTAGACGTATTGTGGTGATCATTTTGCAATACATATAAATATCAAATCAAATACAATACACCTGAAGCTAATATAACATGGAATGTTAATCATACCCCAATACACACATACACACACGAACATATGACCCAATCTCATAAGGAGGATACACTTGGCTTTATTATTCGATTTGCATGCATCGTTATGACTTCGCTGCTTGATCACGTTTGCACATCTTCCTCCTGAGAGCAAAGCTACGTGACTTCACAAAACCCGAATCTGCTGACACCAAGCAACTTAATCGGGGAATGGGAAAATTATGAATTAATTGGTAGCCACAGGAGTGACGTTTCAAGATGCCCCATTGACAGGAAAACACACGAGTCACAGCTCGAATTTCAGAAATACTGCACTCGATCTGAACAATCCTGTTACACTAATTTCTCTTTTACCAAAAAAAAAAAAGTCCTCTCGCTCATGTTTCATGAACATTCTGCCAAACCAGCTTCCCCCTGGAGATCTAAGGGGGGCGTGAGGCTATGTGCAGCCAGGGGCAGGGAACTTCGAGTGAGAAGCCAGGAGTCTGCACGGAGAGACGTCCACGCTGGGACCAGGACAGTGGACCCAGATCTTTAGACTCTCGACTGCCCCCCAGGAAGCTCTGCGGCAGGCCAGAGGGGCAAGGCAGACAGAGGAACTGTGTCCCATCGTCATCCCACGGCAAGTGGCCTGGTGGGCCATCGGGGCTGCTGAGCCTGGGTCCGAGGAGCACACATAGATAATAAACAGGTGATAATAAGCACGCACGCACAGTCACACACACACCCTCCTGTGTGCACCCATGGGCTCCCGTGCTTTCATGCTCACACGCACACACGCTCCCGTGCTTTCACACGCTCACACCCTCACACCGCCTTCCTGCTACAGATCTCCCAGCCGGAAGCAGGCCCAGCTAGGAGAGGGAGGGCGCTTTAATTTAGATAAAAGACGCCAATTTTTTCACTGATTCCTGGAATAAGACGTTGCTCCGACTGAGAGGGAGCAGAAAGGCTATGGAAGCCCCACCCGGGGCAGACGTGCAGGGCAGGGAAGGGGTCAAGTGTCTTGAGGCTCACATCCTGCCAAGTGCAGCCAATGCCACGGATGGGTGCCTCCTATAACCTCAGCCCCATGGGGTGGATGGGGCCCTGGACTGTGGGCTTTGGGCTCTGCCCCAACTCACGATATGGACTTGCACGCATTACTCATGAGGACACCACAGAGACTAGGATGCGGGGCGTGAGGCTCGCTGGGAGGGTGCGTGTGCGAGGCGCCCAGAGCAGGAAGCGTGCACAGATGCTGGGTTCGCAAAATGCAGATCTGACCTCATTCCTCCCGGCCCACGCCCTTCGGCCATCCCCGCTGCGGTCAGGAGGGTCTGACTGCTTAGCCATGCGTGCAGGCCCTTGTCCTGCTCACACGGCCGCTCTCTGGCCCCCTGAGCCATAGGTTGCCCCCTGAGCCATAGGTTGTCCCTCCCCCTCCGGCCCCTGAGCCAGGCAAATGCACCAGGCATCCCACGCCTTGAATGATGATGATGATGGAAATAAGAACAGGTATCATAAGAGCTTTGAGTATTCACCATGCACCAGGCACTGTCCTGAGTGTTGTCCATGTGCTGACTCATAACAATCCTAACAGGTGGATACTACTACTAATCCTAATTTACAGATAAGAAAACTGAGGCACAGAGAAGTTAAGCAACTTTCTCAAGGTCACACTACCAGAAGGTAATGGGACTAAGATCCAAACGCAGACAGAATTGGCAGAACCTACCAATACTAATTTGCGTTTGTTTGGCACAAGGGAATATTTTCCCTCCCTACATCTGCACAAGATCCTGATCTTGGGCTTTGAAGCAGAGGGAAAGCTTGTCTCCCAGAAAGGTCCCTTACTGCCCCTCATTCAGAGGGCCATGGGCTGACCTGCCCCACTCTGGGACCAGAAGGAACCAGATGACCTGTGATGTCCAGGAGCAGGGCACACCAGTAGGTGGCGCTGCTTCTCCAGCCCTGAGGGCCCGGGCTCAGCCTGGCAGACCCCTCAGGTCTCCCCTGAGTACCCTGGGCAACAGGCAGTGTTCGAAGCCTGGCCCAGGTGGGCTTTCCCCTCCTACATTTCATGAAGAACTCCCAGACCGTCCACTGGGATCCAGTCTACAAACCCAGTGATCTTTCTAAAATGCAGATCCAATTTTGTGACTGCCCTCTCTCAAACCTCCCATGGCTCCCATAGACTAAGGACTAAGCTCTTTAAGTCAGTAAAGAGGGCCCTGCCTACCTTTCTATGCTCCCTTCCTCCTGCCACCCCCAACCAACCCCCTACCACCACAGCACAACCTGCTCTTCCTGCCCCTGGGCCTTTGCACGTGCAGACTCCTCTGCCTACCTGCCCTTCCTCCTTTACTCTGCCTGAGAAAATTCCCAAGAGCCTTCAGGGTGTGACTCACCTGTCATCCTCCTCTGTGAAGCACCCCCACTCCTGGCCAGAGTCCACAGGCTCCCTCCTGAGCCCTCCCACAGCTCCATGCCCGGAGCTTGCTTTGAACCCAACGCTCATGCGTGCACTCATCAGGTACACACTGAGAGCCTGCTGGGTGCCAGACAATGGGAACACAAGCATGAAGAAGGCGGGCACAGCTTTGCTCGGCCACAGAACCACACACGTGAACAGACGACCACGGGCCACGGTAAGTGCTATGAAGCGAAGCACCGAATTCACAACTCACATTAAAGTGGGGGTTTTTTTTCTTTTTTATTAAAATATAATGTATATGCAGCAAAATAGATAAATCTAGTGTTTAGCTTAATAAACTTTTACC